CTTTATATAATTAAAAATACATATATACACACATACGTATCCTCCCTAAAAAGTACTTTAAGGTATTTTTACTGTATTTTTAGATTTCAGAACACATTGCAAGCCCTTCTTTAGCCCACTTGGTATTTTGTAAAAAGTAGATGTCAATTTGGAGTATCTTGGCATCAGAGGTGAAAGTAAAATGTCAACTCTTAGTAATATCTAGATCATTAGTTTTTTTTCTCCCCCAGAACGAGGTTAGTAGCTACACCATCTTAGTCAACACAGAAGTCCATTTTAGTTTTCCAACTAGGATTGTAAAGAACTTGCTAGCTTTGCATGCCCCATTGTGCTCTCCAGTATAGTGGTGAATGTGTGGTAGATTTAACGTGTTTTTCCTTTTGTCCATTCTGTGATCTTCAAAACTGGGGGAAAAAAATCTTCAACCTTCTATTTCCAAATGTTTAGTTGGACCTGCTTATGCTTTGCACTTTCGAGTTAAATACTATTCTTCAGAACCGAACAACCTTCGTGAAGAGTTTACAAGGTAGGACATAATGAGAACAGTATCCCCACTAATAGCACTGGTGTTTCTTATAAATGTGGGTCTTCTAAATCATGGGTTTGCCTCCCCTTCCATCTGTTGTGTCTTGCTAAGAAAGAGTTAACACTTTGCCTGTGCTTATCTCTGTATTCTGTTGAAAATCCACCACTTAATTTGACCTTTTTTCTTAGTGATGAATAGAAATTATAAGATTTATTCCTGGTCACACTTCTATTTCCTTGGGCTTTGGGTAAATTGGTTAGTCATTCTATGGCTCGTTATTTTTGTCTGAGCTGCAAAAAAACAAGAAGGCAGATACTGGAAGAATGGTTCTCTTCTAGTGTCCAAAATTGTCATCTTATTTTTCTGAGGGACTGCAAAATATTCCGTTGTTTGTTACAGTATAAGGAACCTTCTCTTTAAAATAGCTGTACTCATGACAACATGGTGTTAAAATCCCTTCATGCTATCTTTCAGCCCCATGGAATTTCCCTGATGTTCTGCTTGCCTATGTCTGCACCTCAGAAACAGTGCAGAAGCAAAAGGGATTTAGAATTTTTGGAGTATCGAGTTTCCCTCCACCCACCCTTCCATCAGTGAAATTCTCTGCCCAGGCTTTTCGCCTCCTTATGATTGTTTGTATGATGTACAGTAGTGGTGACATAAGCTGCTGGGTGGCCCATGGTGGTGGCCACTGTCTTAGAGATGAGTGCCTAAGTAACGCTTTAAAGACTGACCATTTATCACCATTCCCCTGCTGAAAAGGTTTTCTTATAGGAATTGGAAGTTCTGGGCGCTTCAACACTGTGTCCTCCTTGATGCAAGTACACAAACAAGATGGTACCCTGAATTTCAGAAGTGAAGTTCAGTGGTGGTTAAGTACCTATTAGGAATCAGGAACATTCTGGAATGTACTAGATCCTTCAGCCCCTTACCCCCTTTATTTCTGGGTCACCTGCATTCTCCTATATCCTGTCCACAGAGAGTGATTGTCTGCAGTTTTCAAAGTTCAAATTAAATTATTCTAGTGTTCATCTTTAGAATCCTTTAAGAAGCAGGCTGCTTCTAGCTATCATCAAAGCCAGTGGTTCTTAACCAGGGTTGTGTGAATCAGAAACACCTGGGAAGCTTTTGAACAATGCAGATTCCTGGGGACCACTCTTGGCGTGTAAGATTCTGATTCCATAGGTGTGGAGTAGACTGTGGGCAGCTTCGGTATTTACAAAGCACAACAAGTGGTTCTGATGCCCACATCCTCCTGGTAAAAAAACACTTATTTAAGCCAAGATATTTGTTTTTTAGGTAAGTGAACCCCACTCGTGTTATTTGCTGCCTTCCTCCCCCATCTTCCCTTACCCCTGTAACTGATGCAGTCCAATTCCAGGATTTTTCATTTTTCTTTTTTGTATGTATGTGTGCATGCCTGTTTGGTTTTTTAAAAGATAGACTGCAGTTATACTGCATCAGGGAAAAAGCCTCAAGCAGTTGCTAACCACAGTCAGCTGTAAACTTTTTGATACAATCAGCTGCAACCTTTCTGGAATCTGCTGGTGGAGCTCATTGAGGGCCAAATCCAATGGTTCCACCCTGCTTGTTTTATTGGGCACGTTGCATGCCTGTGTGCCGAGTCTGTGTGCCCTGCCTGGTTCTCTTCTTGAGCTCCTGGGGTTGTGGAGGCCGTCTGTGCGGTGTTCCATATTTTATCTTACAAGTATCTTGCAAATTCTGTATACACCCTCACCTTTCTAGCTGGGTTCTGGGACACCTTCCTGGAGACAGGAGGAGATGCTTCCACCAAAGTTCTCATTTGAGTTGGACTCCCTTTTTACAATGCAAAATTCTGGGCTGTGTGCGGGGTGGGATTTGTGGTGGGAAGTTGGGGATTGGAAGTGGCTGGGCAAGAGTTACCCTCTGTTGACTTTTGTATATGTTTGTCAGGTACCTGTTTGTTTTACAACTCAGGCATGACATTCTTTCAGGAAAGTAAGTATGTTTTTGTTCTAACTCTTAACCCAGGATAGATCACAGTATATTTCAAAATAATTCACCGTTTTAACTCTCTTACCCTTGTTCCCTTTTCAAAATTCAAAAAAAAATGCACCAGGCATTGTAAAGTGAGTCTAATACTTGTATCCCTGTCATCATCATCCTATTTTAAATGATTACTATATGGCTTGAAGCATTTCCAAGAGCATTTAATATCTTAAGTGATGTGTATTTGGGAATATTTCTCTCCCCAATCACATCACTGCCCCATTCATAATGGCTTTTGTTGTATTTGCAAGCAAGATACGTTATTAGTATGTATACACTTACAAGTCCTTGGACAGTCAAAAAGTCTCATTCATCACCATCTGCATTTAAGTAACGTGAAGAGGTTATGTTCTGATTCTGATAGGAAGAGGTTTAGACATCTCATTTCCTTTTGCCCTCTTAAAGATGGTTTTTAAACACTAGGCCTGTGGCTAGAGAATTTAATGATTGTTGGGCACGAGAAGCATTGGCACTGAAGCAGTTGATTTCGCGTGCAGTATTAATTTATTTTAAAGACAGAAGATTTCAGCAGTCATAGCTTTTACGACTGTGTGGTTTTTCAGCATATTTAGTGAGTATTTTCTATCACTTGAAAAACTAAGGGTATATTGAGTCTAAAAACCAATGCCTGATATTGACAAGAATACTTTTTTACATCTGATTTTTAATATAATCGGAAGGAAATTTAAAATGTAATTTCAGAATTTGCAAACTCTCAATAGAATAAACTATAAAAATCTCAATGTGATGTGCAGTATAAAACAAGTAGATTGTACAGTGTATACATTTGCCTTATTCAGCCATGCAGTAGAGATCTTTGGTCCGTGTGCATACTATGAATGTGTGTGTATTTTTAGCTCTCTCTCTCTCTCTCTCTCCATACTGTGCTTCTCATACTAAAGGCCTCTCAACTCTAGAAATTGTCTTCAGTTTGGAAAAATAGTAATGGCGATACCTTGCATTTGTACAGTACTTTACAGTTTATATGCACGTCAGCCTGATTTGCTGTACTTCAGAACAGAAGGGTGTTCTAGTCCCAGCACTTCCTCCTACCAGCTGGATGACCTTGGGTATGACACATTAACACTCAGGTCCTCGCCTATAAAATGGGGAATGGCGGAGTACATCCTGGCAACACCTATCCTGGGGATTTACAAATTCAATGCGTTAACCAAATTGGATAATATGTATGAAAAGATTTTGAAAACTTTGAAGTGCTATACCAATGTATGTCATCATTATTTTTCTAACTAAATTTGTAGTATTACGTAAGAATGAGATCACTGAATTTGTAGTAATCCACCTCTAAGGCTATGCCTCGGTTATACTATTAGAATGCTTGAATGTATCCAGCTGTCCTGATAGTGTTAGATATGGCGTCTGTGTGTTTATTTTTAATACTGTGACCTTATTCCAAGAAAGATTTAAGACAGCTTGAAAAGACACACGTACTATAACAAGATAAAATAAGTTTAAAAATAATAAGATACTTAAAAAGTCCAGACTTACTGGACCAGTTGAGACTAAAGTGTCTTTAGCTAAATAACAGATTAGCTCATAAAGTAAACAGTATCACCCGTGAGTATTGTGCTTCTTTAATAAATTGTCCGTACGAGACCAAATGGTCAACACTTACTCTAAAGCAAAGACGAGAAGGCAAGGGAGCAGGGAAACTAGATTACTGGAAACAGAACAGCTAGAATGGAAATAATGGGAAAGTTGACATACTATGAAAAATGTAACTAATGTCACTGAACAAATTGTGTAGAGAATGTTAAATGGGAACTGATTTGCTGTGTAAACTTCCACTAAAAATACAATAAAATATTAATTTAAAATAAGAAGAAGAAGACAAAGAGAGGGCTTCTCATTCTGTTTTCCAAACTTCCCCATTCTTGACAAATTCAGTAAAATTGTTGATAGTAACTATACCTAGATTGGGTTATTTTGTCATGTGGTGAGATCTGACTTTGGGAAATACTTAGTTTAAGTCAGATTGTGGACATTCTTTGTGGTGGACAGTAAAAATATCAACGACACAGAATAAAAATTATTATCTAAATACCACTACCTTTTGGAAAACTAATGAAATTTTGTATGTTTTTGAGCATATTTAAGTACATACTTAGAATTAATTTTGTTTCTTTTTTTTCAAGACTGAAATGCCCATATGAAACTGCTGTGGAATTAGCTGCTCTCTGTCTACAAGGTACATTATTCTTTAGTAGTAATTAGCGTTTTAATGTTATTGCTTTTCATTTCAACAAATGAGTGTCTGTGGTGTAGGAGGCATTGTGCTATACTTTAGGAATCTAAATGAATATGATACAATCTCTGTCCCCAAGTAGCTTCCGGTCCAGTGAGAAAGGCAGGCATACTGAGTACAGTGTAGTTCCTTCAAGAATAGAGACGTGCAGGGAGGCATGGAAGAGCAAGACCCATGGGGGGATGAGTAGATTAAGATGAATAAAGAAACCAAGGCACAAAACAGAAAGAAAAGGCAGAGAGATAACAGCAGTTTGGTGCTGTTGAAGGGTGAATTTCAAGAAGCTGGAGAGGTAGATGACCTTGGACTCCATTTAAAGAGCATAAACTGCATCCTTTGAAAACTCTCCAGGAGGAGGCACGTTTAGTCAGATGTGCATTTTAGAAAGTCCATGCTGGCTGGGATGGGGAAAAGGGACTGGAGCAGGACCCGGACTGGAGCTGGGGGTACAGCGAGGAGATATTACTATAATAGAGGGAAAAGGAAATGAGACCTGACTAGGGCAGAGGTGCAGGGGTTAAAAATTTAAAAAAACCTGTATTAGAAGTAAAAAGAGAAGGATGATGATTAGACTTAGGTATTGAGAGAGGAGTCAGAGATGACTCACAGGCTGCTACCAAGGGTGGGTGGCAGCAACAGTGTATGGTTAGAAGAGCTGGGCTCAGGGGAAAGAGACAGTCTGTTGGGGGCCTATTGCCTGAGAGGTGCCAGTGGGACCTCCAATAGCTCCTTGGATGTCTGAATCTGCCCTGGTCAGCAAGGTCAGGCCAGGCCAGGCCAGAAGCATCAACTGGGGAGTCATTAACATGTAGGTAGAAAGTGGCCAAGAAGTTTGCCTGCATCATTGTCAATGTTGACTGTTCCATCCAAATGACACATTGGTGGATTTTAGTTTAAAATGCCTAAGAAACACTTGCTAAAGCCTCTAGCACTAATTAAGAGAATATTAATGTGTAACTGCACATAAGGAATTTAATTAGGACAGTAGATAGACATATGTTATAAATTCATTTACCAGCATGTTCTGTTTCGTTATGAATTATGATGTATTCATTCATAATTAGTGGTTATTTATTTACACCATAATAAGGTTTGGCTTCCCACTTTGGTATTTTACCAATTTTTAAAAGTTGATCTGAGAAGGTTTTTCAAATTATAAAATCAGTACACAGCTATTATAGAATATCAGGGCCACACAACACTCAGAAAGGCACAGGGAAGGAAGTAACCCACCGTCCTACCTCCCACAAACAACCAGTTTTTAGTGGATTTTTAAAAATGGAATTCTGATCATAATCACATATACATTTTTTGTATGGTTGTTTTACTTGACATTTTTGTTATATGTATTTTGTCATGTTTACCCTCATAAAGATGGTTTTTAATGACTGAAAAATATTCCCATTACCTGACATTTCCATTCCTTAGTCAGCTTTGAATTCTTAGTACCTGATAGGAGCTTGGCATATAGTAGGTACTCAATAAGTACAGAATGAGTTGAATGAATACAGTTGGAGAGACACCTCCTCGCCTCCACCCCCCACTGACTTTGAGTGAAGGGGGAGCCTGAAGGTGTTGGTGGAGGTGCTGGGACCATCTGTACCAAGTACATTGCTAGGTGCTTCATGTCCATATTTCCCTGATATTGACAGCAATACTCACAGTAAGTGCCGTCGGGATGTGCATGGCTACGGGGACGTGGCAGTGACCTCTCTACCTTTCTGCTGTAGCCTTTGGCCTGGTACAGATTTCACCAGTGCTTATTACCAAGTGACCTTCAATACACCCTTGAGTTTCTGAGTCATTAGGAGGTCTTACCATCAGGCTTGGTGGTCTAACAGTTAGGCGTCAGGGTGTAGTTAATGGGATAAAAGCATCCATGTCAGACCTAAGGCCATTGGAACAATATTGCAAGCTTGTATGTTGCCCTCAATGATTTCACGTTGAGGCACCCATGTTACTATCTCATCCCCTTTCCCCCACACGCACACCCCTTGTGTGATGGAGCATCACCACACAAAGTTCAGACTCTAGTAGAGTAGAACCATTTGCCTGCTCCTAGAGGAGCAATGAGGTCAGCTGTCTGAGCCTTTCTTGGAGAAGTACCCATTTGAATCAGAACTGCACATCAGTGTAATTCTAAGATGCACTTGTTATGTCAGGAATATATGAAAACACTTTGAAGACTCACAGGACTGGGGAAGCTCTTGTTACACTGTCTCTCCATGCCCCCACCCCACATGTATACCATCAGTAAATGCTGTAGAGTATGCTTTCCAGTTCAGCCATATCTGAGCTAGCTTGCCTCTGCCTGTAGTGATCACTGGACATCTCTGTGGGCATGAATAAAATGAAATGCTGTGTTCCCTCCTATACTTGAGCCTTGAAAATATGTCTTTCTGTGGTTGCCCTTGAATTAATGTTGCCTCCAGAGTTGGGTGATGCAGTGGCCGTGCATGTAGGCTACGCTCTTTTGGGAACTAAATTTATGGTAGATTTGAAAATTAATCCAGGGGGGAAAGAAAAGAAAGGAGAGAGAGGGGAGAATGGAATGATCGTTTCTCGTACGCCTCGATTTTGTTTTATCCTCATAACAATTCTATCTTACGGCTATGGCAGCAGAGCCAGCAGAGACCCAGAGAGGTTAAGTGACTTGCCAATGGTCACACAGATAGTATATGGTAAAGTTGGGATTTAAGCCCTACTGTGTCTGAGCTGTTTCCACCATGTTCCATGGCCTGCCCACAGCCTCCCTGGAGCTGGGACCCTGGTGGTAGAGGTTAAGGGCTGAGTGAACTGTTAAGTTTTACCAGCAGGTTCCTGTAGGCAGGCATGGCTACCAGGCATCAGTCGGGCCTGTTTTAGTCCATAATGGTGAGGAGGGACACCAGGCCCCTTGCCTGGTCCGAACCCGTCAGAGGAGCCTTGTCATTGTCTGGTTTCTTCCTCCCAGTGCTTGATGATGTCAGTGTCACAGTTAATCCAGTCTTATCCAGACACAGCTCTAAAAGCAGGGCTCCACTGTCTCACTTTAGTCCATGGTGCAGGAGAAGGCTGGTTCATTTCAAGGGAATCATTTCCCACACCGCCTCTGTGATCTTGCCTGCTTGCTGGTTTTGGGGTGACCTGTTGGACAGAGGTCATTGGTGGCCTCCACCTTGGGAGCCCAGCCCTCACCCACCTATGCTGGGTGAATATTTTTCCCAGAAGAGAGTCCTCATTTGTGACTTTGCCCAAGTACCACCCAGCTGCACGCCCTAGCCAGACCACACGGGGCCTTGGTCTTAGGGGTGCAGCCCAGTTCAGACTGCACTGTGTGGTGCAGACAAGGGACTGTGGTCGGGGGAGGAAACACTCCCCAGTGTCCGCTATGTGTTAGACATTGTCTCCTACAGTCTCCCACCATCCCTCTGAGTTGCTGTTGTTGCTTACTTTGTATGGATGGGGAAGTTTTATCCACTTCTCTTGTAAGCCAACAGAAATCCCTCTCCTGAAAGATGGGGTACAGGATTGGGATGCTCAGAAGCCCCATGTCAGACCTGGCATGCCCCACTTGGGGTGATCCAAAAATGGAAACGGCCGCTGGGGATACATAGTGAATTGCCATCACTGGAGGTGTCCAAGCATATGCTGGCTGGTCACTTGTGAGGTTTTATGTGTTAAGCAGTGGCTTTCAAAGTGTGTTCCTCCGGTCAGCTGTTTGGGCATTGCTTGGGAACTTGTTAGAAATGCGAATTCTCAGCCTCACTCCAGACCTAGGGAGTCAGAATCACCAGGGGTGGTGTAGGGGATGAGGGAGAAGCAATGTGTGGTTTCACAAACCCTCCAGGTGATTTCCGTGGATGCTCAAGTTTGAGAACCGCTGTTCTAGATCAGTGCTTTTCAAACTGTAATGTGTGCACCAGTCAGCTGGGCATCTTGTTAAAAGGCAGGTCTGGTTCAGTAGGGCTGGGCTGGGGCCTGAGGTTCTGCATTTTGAGCAAGCTCCCAGGTGATATTAATGCTGTTGGTCTGTGGACCACACTTTGAGTAGAAAAGTATTAGATGACCTCTGGGAGAGTCCTTAAATTAAGGAGCCCTGGTGGTGCAGTGGTTAAGTGCTCGGCTGCTAACCTAAAGGTCAGTGGTTCGAACCCACCAGCTGCTCCATGGGAGAAAGATGTGTCAGTCTGCTTCCGTAAAGATTACAACCTTGGAAACCCTATAGGGCAGTTCTACTCTGTCCTGTAGGGTCACTGTGAGTTGGAATCAACTCAGTGGCCGTGGGTTTTGGTTGGGAGGTTCCTTTTCATTCTGGGACCTGCTTCCTGAGCTGCAGAGTTGCAGGGGTGGGGAGAGTAGATTTTCTTATTCATGCCCTGGGGGAAGTGGGGCTGCCTGTGTCCTCAGGCCCTCCCTTCTGTGGGAGACTTAGCAAGAGCAAGGACTGCACAGCACGGTTTGGGTTTGCACGGGGACGGCTCACATGGCTGCTCCTCTCTTATGCACGTCTCCCTCCTGGGTTCTGCCTGAGTTACCGTAGTTGCTCCTGCAGCCTTCTCACCCCCTTCTCTCTCCCTCCTTTCCTCGCTTCCTCTCTCAATATCCACCCCCTCTGCCATTCTCCACGTACCAAATTCTTGATTGGTCCTCTCCAGCACTGCAGACCCTGAAGTGCGGCTCTGACCTGCCCTTAACAAGAGCCTTGTTCAATGGATGCTTCTGGGCAGGTCCTCATTCCCTGCAATTGCCTTTTATTGCAAATGCAAGGCTCTACCACTTCACAGGGAAAATGTAACCAGAGCCTCCCTGGGTAGGAGAACCAGTTGGGAGAAAGACAGTAATAACTAAGATGATGGTGTATCGTCCAATGGGGAGGGCATTAGAGTGATTCTTGGGGATTCAGACTGTACATGTGGGTGCTGAGCAGGAGTTAAATCTTCCTGAAAGAAGAGAGTTATACATTAGGGGGTACCTGTGCTTTATAATCACGCAAAATGCCTTTGGAGCTGGTTGTAGTAATAACTGAAAGCATTAAATGTCTCCTGGTTTTCTCTCTTTTATGAAACTTGCAGCGGAGCTGGGGGAGTGTGAGCTTCCAGAACACACCCCAGAGCTTGTGTCTGAGTTTCGGTTCATTCCAAATCAGACAGAAGCAATGGAATTTGACATCTTCCAGAGATGGAAAGAGTGCAGGTACCTTGATGCCAGTCTAGCATTCTGATAGATATATTTATTTTTAATATGTAAGCATTTGTCAGAATCTCTTATTCACCAGTCGAATTGCTCTGTTGATGACTGTAAAATTGCAGCTCCAACTCTTAACTCGTCTCCTATGCTTCAGTCCTGTTTTTCCTACGGCCTACACATCATCTCTCTTTTAAGAGATATTCAGCAAGAACCAGACCATGCTCTTTTTCTGTCTCTGAAATAGCAGCCTGGTCCTGATTTGCTCATAGCTGCCAGAGCTGCCACCACTGTCCTAGCCCCCAGAGAACGTGTGAAGGTGTTGCCTTGACATGCACTGCTGCTCGCCTGTGTCTCTAGTGACCTCATGGCCTGAGCAGACCTTTTAAAAGTAGTACCCCTTATAGGGATATTCATATTTGAGTCCATGTGGACAATTATATTTCAGAAAATGGGATCACCATGCCTAAATCCAGCTGTCATCCAACCCTGTCATTTCTCTCTGTGGTTGCTTCCTCCCTTTTGTCATGCACTCACTGCCCAAGTCTAACACTGGACTTGCCTGCAGCGCCAACACCACCTCCTCACTCACTGGTTTCCCAGACTAGTCTTTCCTCCTTCCAGTCTCTTCCCAAAACATTGCCTCTTCCAAGTCACTCTCAGGCTCAGGAACTTAGCACAGTTTTCTTTTGTCACTTAGGCATTCTGAAAAACTAACATGACTTTTTTAAAATGGAAGGGTGACTGGATTAGTGCATTCTCATTGTATAAAATTGAAACAATATGGAAGTGTGTGGATATAGGGTCATTTGACTTCACACACACACACACACACACACATACACACACGCACACACACGCACACACCCCCCCCCACACCCCACTCTGAAGGAAGCCCTGTTAACAGTCTATCGTGTATTCTTCCAGCCTTTTTTTTTACCATTTACATATATATATCCATACCAAAAAATGTTTGGTTTTATTAAATGATCATAGGATAAGCACTGTTCTGTGATCTTTCTATTAAATTAAAAGCATGTGCTTGGAAATCTTTTGGTGTTAACATAAGATGGTGTCCCTCCTTTAATTGCTGCATAGATCCCACAGTACTGCTGTGCCCTTCGAAATTGTGTGGGTTTGTGAATTGCAGTTTACATTGTATTTCCGTTGGTTTTTCTAAGGGGAAAGAGCCCTGCCCAGGCGGAACTCTCATATCTGAATAAAGCGAAGTGGCTGGAAATGTATGGGGTAGACATGCACGTTGTCAGGGTAAGAGCTGTGTGTGTTTAAGTAATTTGGTTTTGTGTTACTGAAAAATATGTAAACAATGTGCAAACAAAGTAACGTGGTGAGGAAACTGTTTTGCATTCTGCTCTGTGACGACCTGTAAGAACCCTCTACCGATTGTCACTTCGTTTGTTTGTAGGGAAGAGATGGCTGTGAATATTCTCTTGGACTGACTCCGACAGGCATATTAATCTTTGAAGGAGCTAACAAAATAGGCTTATTCTTTTGGTAATTTAGTTTTGTCTAATATAAAAATGTCTTTTTCCTATTTTGTGGTGGAATTATATGTGATGGATGATTATTGAGGGTTATTTTCAACATCTAGATCTATTTTAAAAACACGTTATACTATCGTATTTGTGGGTGTATGACAATTTCTAAGAAACTTCTAGATAATCATACTTAAATGAATGAATGATTATTATTTTTTTTTTTAGCAAATCTAACATTAAAAAGTAGAAAGTCAATTGCTATTGAATGCATAGATAGTTTTAGTGCAGAATCTACTTTTTAAAATATTTTTTCTCTGACCAGGCCTAAAATTACCAAAATGGATTTTAAAAAGAGCAAATTGACACTTGTAGTGGTTGAGGATGACGATCAGGTAGGCCTTGCTCCTGTTTCTCCTCCTTGCTGTGAATTCCCTGGTGATGTAACAAACGCAAACGAGAGCCTTGTGCTTCATCTTTAAGGGGCGTGAGCAGGAGCACACATTTGTGTTCCGGTTAGACAATGCCAAGACCTGCAAGCACCTCTGGAAGTGTGCAGTGGAGCATCACGCCTTCTTCCGACTGCGGACACCAGGAAATAGCAAATCAAACAGATCGGACTTCATCAGGCTGGGATCTCGATTCCGATTCAGGTAGGGAGCCATTTTTGCAACACGGATCACATGTTTCGAAGAAGGGCAACAGTGATTTTTTTTGTGAAAGGAGCATTGGATTTGGGGTTTACGTCCCATCCCTACTTCTTTTTTGAGATCTGACTTTTAAGTCATTTAGTCTCCGTATCCTCATTGATAAAATGAGGCTAATAACAACAAAATTAGTAATAGCCAACATTTAGCCAGAGCTATGCTGTCCAATGAGTAGAGGACATGGTGATTCAGTGGTAGAATTTTCTCCAGAGACCCGGGTTTGAGTCACAGCTAATGCCCCTCATATCCAGCCTTATCCGTCTGTCAGTGGTGGCTTTTGTGTTGCTGTGATACTGAACAGGTTTCAGTGGAGCTTCCTCACTAAGATGGACTAGAAACAAAGGCCTGGCGTTCTACTTCTGGAAATCAGGAGTGAAAACCATATGAATTACAACGGTCCTATCTGCAACCCACCATGGGGATGGTGCAGGACTGGAGGGTTTTTCATACCATTGTGCATGGAGTTGCCATGACTTGGGGGCCTGCTTGACAACAGCTAACAACAACAACATGCCATCCAGTGTGTAGCCACTAGACACGTGTGGCTATTTAAATTCCTATTACCGGTAATTAAAGTTAAATAAATTTTAAAACCTAATATCTTCAGTTGCATTAGTCATATTTCAGGTGCTTAGTAGCCACATTGAGGCCAGTGGCTACCATATTGGGCGGTGCAGACATGGAACATAGCACCATTGTAGAAAGTCTGTTGGATAGCGCTGCTGTAGAGCTTCTCATGTACTAACTCCTAATCCTCACAACAGCCTTAAAAAGGTGGACACTCTGGTTATCACCATTTTACAGACAAGGAAACTAGGGCCAGAGGGGTTGCATAATCTGCCCAAAGACACAAGCAGCCAGTAAGTGGTAGAGGCAAACAAACTTTCAACCCAAGCAGTCTGTGGGTGCACTATGTGTCTGTGTGAGGCCTGGGAATGTGCATTTTAAATGTGCCCAGGAGTGATTTTTGAGGCGCACTTACAGGTCTCAGAATCGCTGGTACAAGATCTAACACTTTGACACACGGCACATCCCTGAACCCTGTTTAAAATGCCAAGACACTTGCTCGTTTCCAGTTTAACTACTGTGTGAGGAAATGGCTGTGCACTTCTGTTTAAAGAAATATTTTGTTGGAGTGTATTTTTAAGTGCTCCAAGGGGAAAAAAAGACCAAGTCCTTTTTGAGAAAGAATTGAATCACAGGGCCCTGTGGAGGATGGAAAATGTCAGAACTGCAAAGGTTAGCAGAGATGCTATACAAGATGCTGATGTCTGCTCGAGTTGGAGTGAGAAGGAAAGGCTGTCGGTGGTTGCCAAGGCAGGCTTGTCCCTCCTGGGAGGAAACTCCCCCAGGATTTGGCCCAGACCAGACTCCCTTCTGCTCTTCGAGAAGAAGTATAAGAAGGAAGAGGAGGTTGGAGATAAGGTTGCCTCTTGGAGGCACTTAGAACTCAGAACATTTGCCAAGTGGCTCCTTCCCTCTGATAAATCATAAACCAAGAGTGCCTGGGATGCGACAGTGGTGGGTGGAACAGGGAGAAACAGCATGCCTCCTAGAAGCTGCACCTGGATGTGGTGTTTGTTAAAACCCAGAAGGCATTGGTAAATGAGTAATATTTTCCTTGGCAGAGCAAACAAAGCCAAGGTTTAGGTCAGTGGTCATTGATTGATAACAGCCTTTTAAAAGATGAGTTAAATGTGTATGTAGTGCCTTTCAATCAATGTTGTCCTAGTCGAGTGTTCCAAGTGCTCATAACTGCGTGGTTTGTGCAGCGAAGCGGCTGGTACCAAAATTGCCGATTTGGTCTTTTGGTGGAAATTTGTTGTTGTTGTTAGTGGTTGCCATCGAGTCGATTCCAACTCTTGGAGACCTCGTGTGTGCAGAGTAGAACTGTGTACCATGGGTTTTCAAGGTTGTGACCTTTTAGAAGCAGATCACCAAGCCTTGCTTCCCAGTCACCTGTAGGTGGGTTTGAACCAACATCCGTTCTGATATTCCTGAGGTCCGGTGCTTAATCATTCACACCATCCGGGGACTCTCTGCCCCTATAATATAGCCTGGATTTGGCAAAGGTGATTTTATTGCAAAATGGAAAGCTAAATTTAGTGTGTGTCTTTACCAAGTGAGTTCAAGACAAATTCAAATTTACATTGGAACTCTTGAAAATAGAAGTTTACTTCTAAGTATGTATAATGCACTGATATTCTGATACTGGTAACATGAAATAAAATGTTTACTTTCCAGTGGGCGGACAGAATATCAAGCTACACATGGGGCCAGGTTACGAAGAACCAGCACCTTTGAAAGGAAGCCCAGTAAACGCTATCCGTCCCGGAGACATTCCACTTTCAAAGGTTGTGTGTTTTTCATTCTGCCTTGGAATTTCACATTATGATTGAGTTTAGCCTGAAGGAGCTTGGTAAAGCAGTTTGAGAAGGAACTTTCTGCAGTTCTGCTTCATCATTCCAAAGCTTTTAAGAAAATCCCAGTGGCCCCTCAATGGGAGTCCGGCCTTTTCTGCTATCCTGCTGTCATTAGTCTTTCCCCCTTGGATGTGCTCGTTTTCTTCTCCCCGTTCCCATCTTTCTTGTGCCCGTTTGCTCCTTCTGGACCTGGGACCAAGCCCTGGGACCTCAGGAATATCATAGATAAATACTTTTCTTGCCTGTAGAAGAAGATACTGTGTCTTAAAGGGAAAAACTGTCCCTTTTCTTCCCCATCTGCAATTCCAAGTGGGGTCATCAGGCTCACACTAACCAGAATTTTGACCATGTAAGGGTAGATACAAACCAAACCAAACCAAACCAAACCCACTGCTGTCAAGTCGATTCTGACTCATACAACTTTTAAATGCTTGGTTCAGATCCCCAGGGTCAGTCTAGCCTACACCCTTCCCTGGAGGTAGCCAGGCCCTAGGGTGCCCCCCTCCAACTCCCTGAGGCTTGTCTGTGTTGTTTGCTGCTCTGTGTCCTCACACCTGGTAAGAGGCCTGGCACCCAGTACATGCTCTGTCATTGAGCCCATGAGTGAGCCATGCTCATTTCTGTTTAAATCCTGCATTCAAATCCCATCCTGTATCTCTCCCTTCTCTATACTTGATTGCTCCTCCAGTCTGGACTCCTGGTTTAGTGCTAAATTGTTTACCCTTTTATATGACTTTTTAAAGTCAGGGCTTCTGTACTCTAAACTCACCTCACCCTTCCTCTACCTTGTTTACTGATAGTGGCCATTCCATACATTTTTTTCAAATGGCTCAGGAGTTAATGGGCCGCCTTGGGCCCTGGCACCTGTACATATACATGCCCCTTTCTAGAGTCATTAACCTTGTGTTTCCCACCGTTTTCTTCCTTTATGAACCAATAATGCAATAGTGTGGTGGCCAGAAATTCTCTAAAGCTACCCGACTGCTTTCATGGAGGAAAGATGCCCAGAGCCTGGGAACTATACCCCACTTTAAAGGCCAGAGAGTGGGAGCATATCCAGAGAATGGGGATGGATTGATGAGGGGGCTGAAAACTGACAGACAAGTGGTGATTGTAGGAACTGGGAGTGATGGGGGAGGAGGGAGAAGTCTCTGTTGGAGGGGCTGTGTTGCCTCCGTGGGGATGATTATGCGTGTGTGTGGGGTTCCCTGGGTTAGTTATCCAGAAACAGTCCTGTACAAGGAAGAACCTTATAATAGGGTTGTCCAGAGATAGGAAAAGCTACTTTAAGACACTGGTGAGCTCCCAGCCCCTAGAGATGTGTGTAGGCACAAACAGAGATTAGATCTCTTACTGACGCAAGGTTCTGGGATTCTCTTCCCCTTTCCTTCCTGATATCCATCCTTCTCTCCTTTATTTTACTGACATTTTTTCGAGCCCAAGTTCTAGCATCTTTGTGAAGCCTTTAAGGATTTTCCCCACCTCATCCTTTTTAAAACAAAATGGAGTACAGATAAAGAAGATCTCCCTCATCCTGTGTCCCCCTTCCACACAGACTCATGCCCCTGCCCCACTCAGAAGTAACCGCTCTGAGCTCCCTGACCCCCAGACTCATGCATGTATTCTGGCCTTTATTACCTTATGTTGTTTTCACTTTTACGTGCCTCTCTGTCTCTGTGTCTCTCTCAGGACAGTGAGCCCCTGGAGAGCAAGGATTGTGTCTCTTGTCTCTGCATGTCCAGGGACATGCTCAGTGAGTGTTTGCTGAATGAGTTGGAGGGAGCAGGGCACAGAGGAAGGGCCGTTTATTTTCCCTTAGGAAAAAGAAATAGCTGAGGTGCAGATTCTGCCTGTATAGGGTTGGGACTGCTCTGAGATCTCAGAAATCTCTTCCCGGTCATTGACTTTCAAACTGCGTGATAACGACAATTGGTCTCTATTCACCTGGAATAACTGAGGAAGAAGGAGTGTCAGAAATAGGAGGAAGAAATGGAAGATGTGGCTAATTGCCTCCATAAACAAATCCCTCCTTTGCCATGAGACCAGAGTTGGATGGTGCCTGGCTACCATTACTGAACATTTTGTTCAAAGATTCTATAGAAGAATCCTGATCAAAAGGCTGGGGGGTGGGGGTGAGGAGGTGGGGCTGTGGAACAAAATTTCAATTTCTAATGGAATCCAGAATTTCTAGAGCCGTGGAGGCTGGATGAACCCCTGAAACTGTTGCCCTGAGATAATCTTTAACTCTTAAACCAAAAATATCCCCTGGAGTCTTCTTTAAACCAACTAATAGGTTAACTTAACTAATAAAGAATGTTTGCCTTGAGCATTGTGCTCTTTTAAAGAACTGTCTATATGGGATCAAACTGACAACAGGAACTTGAAACATCAGATAGGAAGCTTAGGAGTTGGTGAGTTTATGTTAATGGGGGAGGAACATCAGAAAAGGAGGATGAGAATGGTTGTACAACTTGAAGAATGTAATCAGTGTCACTGAATTGTATGTGTAGAAATTGTTGAATTGGTGCCTGTTTAACTGTGTATATTTTCAACAACAAAAATTAAAAAAAGTTATAATAACTCTTAAGATGTCATAACTTTCTTTATTTTTCCTTTAAAGCAAGCAACCCGGTGATAGCAGCTCAGCTCTGGTAAGTGCCCCCAGACTTTGGGGTACAGCTTCCCTCTCTAGTTATTCTGTTTATTGACAATGTTGACTTCCCTTAATACAATTAAATCACAGAGTGAGTCACCTGATAATTTTTTTTCCCCCTTTTTCTGCTGTCTGGCGATAGCATCCTCCTGCCTTTCAATAACTACACAAAAGAATGTTCCAGATAGTTTTTTTTTTTTTTTTTTTTTGAAATCACAGCTGCTCTGTTTCAGTAGCTTTGTGCTTTGTTTATTGTAACAGTGGGTGATAAAGGTGATAGGAATGTGTACAGCACACAGTACTAATGGCGTTGGAGGCAGTGATGGGAAACAAAGGCCATGCTCCTCAGCAAAAGCTAGACGAGAGCAAATGCTGGATTTGTTCAGCGACGTGTAGGTTTTATAGTCATCCATGTAGAAGACATTAAACCCTGTTATTGAAATTCCCCAGGGAAAAGAACTTTATTTCAAGACTGAAGATCTAGCACAGGGGTCAGGAAACTTTTTCTGCAAGGGGCCAGATAGTAAATATTTTAGGCTTTGTGGGCTATGCTTTCTCTGTTGCAGCTACTCTCCTCTGTTGTAGCATGAGCAGCCACAGACCATAGGTAAATGAATGAGGATGTTTACCAACTTCTGTCCTAGCACGGGGGCTCTTTGGTCTTGCCTCAAGGTCTGGTGAGCTTTGACAAATCCCCTCAGCCAGGCCACAGCCCAGACTAATTGAATCAGGATGTCTGGGGGTGGGGCCCAGACATCTGTATTTTTTACAGCTCCCCAGGTGATTCTAGTATGCAGCCCAGGTGAGAGTCACTGCCCTGCCTCACACATAACCTTCTTTCTCCCTCTGAAACAACCTTTTTTCTTATGTGGGTTTTGGTTCATTAGGGGGACAACTGTCATGTTAGAGAATCACAGGCTGTAGTTGTTTCAATCCTGCATCTGAGTTCCAGCCACTGGTGGGGCGGTTCCATCAGCCGTCTCTGCTGTCCCTGGTGCAGGTCTCAAGGTGCTAGGGAGGTGGTCTCTGAGATAAGCACTGTACTGTGGGCTGAACTATGGATGACATGGCACGTGGTGGGACAGGTTGCAGATGCCCAGATTAAGTGATGAGAGCGCTGGCCGAGGAATCAGGGACAGCTTTGCCTCCAACGCAGCTCTGGGACCTACAGCATGCCCTTTTCAGGGTCTCCTGAAAAGTCATTTGAAAACACAGAGTTTGGGCTACATCAAGGTTTTTGTAGACTTTTTAGCCTCTGATTTTTCCCACCAGAAGAAATCTTATGTAGAAGCCCAACATATAGAACAGACAGAAGGGGAGCTCTCTGGATGAAGCAGCGTGGGGATTGAGGGGCCAGTGCCTGGCTGCTCCCCTGCCTCCCTGCCACCCTGGCAGCCCCAGGGCACCTTCAAGGAGCCCAGGGTCTAGAAAACATAGCTGGATGAAGTGGTGACCTAGACCAACCCCTTGTATTGCACAGCTGGAAACTCAACATCCAGTCTCCGACTCCAAACTACTTGCATTGCCATTCTGCTGGGGGTCATGCATTCTGGCTCTTGTCTCTGGGTTCACTGGAGGGGCTTGAGGGTCCTAGTGAACTGCTGTATCACCCCCTGCCCTCTGCATCACCCCCTGCAGGTTTGCCCTATTTCTAGAGTCCCTCTAGCAGGCAGTGTGCTAAAAGCGTCTGCCCCTTCCATGGCCTCTCAGGGTGTCTTGCTTTTAATTCTCAGGGGCTGGTAAGTCATAGCATTTATTTTCTTTTCTCTCTGAGGGGGTGATTTTTGTTGTTGTTGTTTTGGTTTGGTTTGGTTGGTTGTTTTTCCCTAATAAAATTCCATTTTCCTCTTAGTTCCTAGTTGTGATTATATATACTGGGAATCAAAGCAAGCTAAAAACAACCCAAAAATCCACTGAAAAAAAGCCCCAGTAAATATACCCTCTGGGAACAAATGAGCTAATAAGCACTGTTTGCAGCTGTTCAATTGCTCTTCACAGCCTGTGGGATCCCGGGGTGAGTGGGATTGCTATGGGAGCCAGGGATGAAATTGTGCTCTGGGCTGCAGAGGTGCTACCAGGAAAACAGTACCTCACAGAACACTTAACCTGCCTGATCAAATCCAGCCGGTCGTGGATCTGGCCCGGAGCCTAGTTCTGTGTGACTGGCCCTCTCAGAAAACTGGAACACCAGAACCATTTAGACCCCAAGCAAGACTCATAACAAGGATATGTTTCCGTTTCGTTGCTGGAGAAGCAGTAAACCCTGTTTTCAAGAATACAGCGCTAGCTACATAGCCCAACAAGTGTGGCTGTGTTTGTGGTTTTTCTGTCCGATGCCGTGCTTACATTTTAAGCACATTGCATTTTACACCAACTCCCTTCATCCATATTTTTACCGGAGTAGTTACATTTACGATTCCATCAAAATAGGCTCATGCGTAAGGAACCCAAACCTGTTCCCAAGCTCTCAGTGTCAGCTTGGTTTAGTGGAAAGAATACAGGCAAGTTATAGCCAAAAAGGAACAGTGTGGGAAAGTTCCTAACACAGTAGGTAGTGCATAGGAATAGCTTATGATTGTTAAATAAATTAGTAGTAATGCCACTTTCCAACTAGTTATTTTATTTATTTATTTTTTTTAGCTCTAAGACAAATCCTGAAGTCCATAACTACCAGGTGAGACTGTTTTTAAAGGTTTCCATTGTAATATTTCTTTATATTTATAATTTTTCTATGCTGAGCAGTCATTATGCTTATATTCAGATTTTGAAAAAATACTAACAATATGTGTTTTGTTTTGTTCTTGAGAAAACAGTAAGAGGAGGGCCTTTCTTGACCCTTGCTTCCTCTTGGTTGTCTGAACTGCCTGCGTTTCTTAAGCTTGTCAGATGGCAAGTAGCAGGGGCATGTAAGTTTAGGTTTCTGGGTGATCAGACACAATTTCTTAGAGTCATTCAAGCGAGCAGCTTTTGGTCAAAGTGTGTTCTTGGTCAAGGAAACATGCGTCCCATGAGATGTGCCTCCAGGAGAGGGTGTTTTGGTCAACTGTTTGGGAAATGTCACATCCTTCATCTCCTTTCTTAGATTCTACAGTGCCCACTGGCATGTTGAAAGTACTGAGATACCCCCACAGGAAAGACACGTTTTCCTTTTTTCCCCCTATTTTCCTTTTGTTGCGGTAAATATATATGTAACAAAACATTTGCCATTTCAACATTCTTCACAGCTACAATTCAGTGACATTAATTATTTTCACCATGTTGTTCAACCATCACCATTATCCGTCCAGATTTTTCCATCATCCTTAACAGAAGCTCAGTGTCCCCTAAGCAATGAGTCCCCCTTTCCCCGTCCCTTTTGAATCCGGTGTTTCCCATAGGTCAGTTGATCATGGGACACTCTCCCCACAAAAAAACTGACTTTTTTTTGTGTGTGTGTGAACTACCCATTTACATCAGAGGAGCAGTGGTTTCTAGCACCCACTTTGTAAGCACTGTGCTATGTTTTCTACAGAAGAAGTGTGGATATGTTCCCATGGCTGGTGCTATGCTCTTTGCTCATCTCAAAGTTGTCCCACAACAGGTATAACCCTGCGGTGGCCAACCAGGGCCTGAGGCCGCCTACCTGCCTGTCCACCCACCACTATAGCAGCTCCTGGTAGTATTCAAGCTGCAGTCCACAGCCCAGCTTGGATCAAGCACTTCCCTCCTAAACAGCTGTGGGTGGTTCTTGCTAGCCATTCATGGCTTTCTATGACCTGGCTCCGACTTACTCTTCTACGTTTATTTCTCACTGCACCTCATCACACACCATATGTTCACCTCAGGGAACTGCATTATCATTGCCCCATAGTGTTATTCTCTATTCCTTTGCATATGCTCATCTGCCGGGATCCTTTCACCTGTATGCCAAAATATCCTCAAAGACCAACTCAGAAGCCACCTCTTCTACAGCGCCTTCTCTGATCCTCTCCAGTCACCAGCACCTGTTTTTCTCAAGTCTAGTGCCCATTAAAACCATCTGATAAACTTTTAAAAAAATACCCAGTGCTTAGGCCTTACCCCAGCGAGATTGAATCAGTTATTCAAGGGGTAGAATTAGGCATCAATGCAGTTTCAAAGCAGTGGTTAAGAGCTTAGGTGCTTAACCAAAAGGTCGGCAGTTCGAATCCACCAGCCGCTCCTTAGAAACTCTTTGGGCAGGTCTCCTCTGTCCTGTAGGGTCAGTGTGAGTCAGAATCGACTCAACAGCAGTGGGTTTGGTTTTGGTTTTTTTGTGAGGTGGTGCTAATGAGCAGGCAAGCTGGGGAACTCGGGGGCTTATGTGGACCTCTCCTCCTAGGTCGTCAGTGCTTGTGCTTAGAGGCAGCGTCCACATCTGGTGACTTCTCCTAACTTGGGGACCACTTACTTATGCTGGGTGGGTTTGAATGTCTAAGGGACACTGCTTTCCCAAATGTCTGTGCCCTATCACCAACCTGGTTTTGAATGTCACCAGTAATGAAGCTATTCCATGAAAAATTAAATCACTTTGCAACCTTCTTCTAATTATTCCCTTTCTTTGTCTTTCATTACTGCAAATGGGGATGGAATCCCTGTGTACATCATCTCTATGGGGTTTCCAAATTGTTATGTGCTAGCAGAATTTTGTGACATTGACTTTGTTACATGAAATCACATTCCCAATGTGCAGAACCTGGAAATGACTTTAGAGTTTTTGTGCATAGCAAGTAGAAAGGGCTTGAAACATGGTTGGGGAAAACTCAGGTCTCCCACTTACCTTGCCTTCTTTAGGTTCTTGAATCTTCTTATTCCTAGATTGTTTTTGTTGTGGGATTTTCAAGTGTGAGTGACTGGAATGTTGTAGGGGAGGAAAGGGTTATTGATGAGTCGTTACAGCTTGAAGGAGAGAAAAAATTTAAAACAAACGGAGCAAAGCATCCCAGCTTAGTGCTGCCCCTGCCCTCTCCTCACCAGCCTTGTGGTTGCGTTCTCACTGCGTGTTCCTTGCTTAGGGTTGAGGGGATTGTTTATTGAAATCAGACCTACAAAACACTGTTACCCTAGACATTGTTCTTCTCAACATCTGTGGCAACCACTGCCCCTTTGCACCTTGCTAATCTTAGAGGGTCTGTCTTGCTCATCAGAGTTTGGGATTTAATTGACTGAGACAAGAACATCCTGAGAAGTGGCCTGATAAGTATCTGAGTGCTATGAAGGGTTTTCAAGAGGATGGTGTTACAGCATTTATCTTACTCTGAACGTAGCAAGGTTAGCCAACTGCAAAGGATGGATGCTGTGTTCTCAATGGGGATGCCATTGGCATTTTGAGAGGGACAGTTCTTCATTGTTTGGGACTGTCCCTGGAATTACAGGACATTTAGCTTCCCTATTCTCTGCTCTTTAATTAAAGATAACCCTCCAGGCATTGTGACAAGCACAAATGCCACATACATTTCCATTTGCCTCCTGGAAGTCGTAACTGCCCCATTTGAGAACCATCTGTGATAACATTACAGTTCTCCCTGACAGCTTTAGAATTTTCTGAGTCGGAATCGACTCGATGGCATACAATAACAACAGCAAGCTTTAGAGTTCTGTAGAAAGTACCAGAGGAGCCTGAGGAAACTTCTAGCATCTCCTTCTTTCAGGTGTTTATGCATAAGATGCCTACTTTTCTGCGATGAATCTAATTTGGTTGTGTTTGAAGATCGGGGTTAGACCAGGGGGCCCAGTTCTAGGTTGGTCCTTCTCTCTTGCTGAAGACCCAGTTGATGGAGCTGCATTTAGGGCCTGGCTGTGTGACAGAAACACCTGCAACAGTTTAACTTTGAGAAAACCATCTGAACTCTGGGTTTCTGTATCCTCTAAAAGACGGAGATGTGAAGAAATTGTATTAGGGGAATTCTGAACCCCTATCCAGCTCTCAAATTCTGCTATTGAGATATTCCAGATTCTTTTTTCCTATAGCATGTCCTTGTGGGGGCTGCAGACTTAGCTTCCTAACAGGCTACCATACTGCTTCCCAACCAAGGTGGCGCAGTGGTTAAGCACTTGGCTGCTAACTGGAAGATCAGCAGCTTAAACCCACCAGCCACTCCACGGGAGAAAGATGTGGCAATCTGCTTCCATAAAGATTACAGCATTGGAAACCCTGTGGGGCAGTTCTTCTCAGCCCTATAGGGTTGCTTCGAGTCAGAATTGGCTCAATGGCAACGTGTTTGGCTTGCTTTTTTTTTTTTTCTTTTTTTGGTTCTATAACAGAGCAAGCTTCTGCTTATTAACCAAAGCAGCAGGGGAGAGGAGAAGAAGGGAGGAAATAATTAAAAGAATAATGGTGGCAGGGCTGTCATGACTTAAATGTAAAAAAATTAAAAAACCGTTACCGTGGAGTCAATTCCAACTCCTAGTAACCCTACAGCGACCCTATAGTACCGAGTAGAACTGCACTTTAACCACGGCACCACCAGGGCTCCTTAACTTAAACATCTAGAACCAAAACAGAGCCCATTGCCATCGAGTTGATTCCAACTCATAGCAACCCTATAGGACAGAGTAGACTTGCCCGTTAGGCTTTCCAAGGAGCAGCTGGTAGATTTGAACTGCTGACCTTTTGGTTAGCAGCCGTAGCTTGCTGTAGCACTTAAACGTCCAAACCAAAAAGAACCCAAAACCCATTGCCATTGGGTCGATTCTGACTCATCATGACTCTATAGGACAGAGTAGAACTGCCCCATAGAGTTTCCAAAGAGCGCTGGTGGATTTGAACTGCTGACCTTTTGGTTAGCAGACATAGCTCTTAACCACTATGCCACCAGGGTTTTTCCACTTAAATGTTAGGAGGGCCTAATTTGCCCAATAGAAAGTTTAGCCTTGAGAATCCCCATGGTTTATGGCAGTGTCTGGGACCACTGCCCTCTTCAGGCCAGAAGTGGATAGGCAGCCCGCTTCCCAGCCAGGCTGATCTTGTCTTCACCCTGAAGGCTTTGTGAGAGTCGCAGGTCTGGATCTATTTTCTCATCTGAAAATGGACCAATTCCTTCCCGCCTTTCCTCTTTCCCTCCCTCCTTTCCTTCCTTCCATCCATTAAATCATCCAGATAATAAGTGCTGTGGACATTTTTTTTTTGGTATTTTGTTTTCAATCACGTATTAGAAAAGTATTTTTATTGCTACACAAGGGAGAAAGACAATTCACCCACAGCCCTGCCACCTGAGCGTCTCTGCCCTGTCCTTGTCTGTGTGCGGACATAAAACTGCTACACATAGCTGCCGTCATTTTCAGCAATGACAAAAAATTGTTTCCAAAGGGAGAAATTCTCTACCACTCCCCCTATCTTCCTGGAACCTTCTGCCTGTTTCTTTGGTAGAGATGAGTATTGCCTGTCCTGGGCATGCTAGATGACCCCTTTTAAAGCAGATGCTTTCACCTTTCTTCCTAGGCAGCTCCCCAGCCCCTTCGCAGGAAAGGCTACCTGCGTAGATGGCGCTTTCAGAGCCAGCTGCTGTGTTCCCAGCCTTTATCAGTGGGAGAAAGGTGACTGTCCTGGGAAATGTTTGCCCCACCAGCCAGGGTTTAGTTATATAGCTTTTCTATTCACAAGCCCTTCAGCCCTTCAGGTGACTGCCTGTAAAAGCAAAAGTAAATAAAGATGGTTGAAATGAAATGGCAATTGAGTAATCGTGTGTGAAATCTTATTTTTAGCCTCAGTATCATCCTAATATCCACCCCAGCCAGCCTCGGTGGCACCCTCACTCTCCAAATGTAAGGTAAGTGCTATGCTTTTGAAATTTCTGCTTCTCTGGGAGGTTCAAATTCTGCTTGAAATTCTACATCAGAAACCAGTCTTAACAGTTACATTGTCATGGTAGAGATTAATTTGCAAAGGAAAGCAAGCCAGTGATGAGTCCGGATTTACTCAAGTTATGCTTTGTGAAATTAAAATGAATTGGTTTTTAAAAATAATTCTAACCTTCGACATTTTTGGCTTATGAATTAGAAATGGTACTTAAAATTTCTAAGTAGTTTTCCTATCCTTAGAATTCATTTACTAAAACTTTCAGTATTTTTGTTGTGGTGGAGGTGGATTTTTTTTTAAACAATTTTTGTTTTTTCCAAGAGCATGGGTAGGAGTTTGCTTTCCGTGGTGGTAGATCTTTCTCCCTAACCCAGGGCTTGGCAAACATTTTCTGTACAGGACCACATATTCAATGTTTGAGGCTTTGAGGGTCATTTGGTCACTGTTGCAACTACTCGTGTTGTAGCTTAAAAGCAGCCATAGAAAACACCTAAATGAATGCTCATGGCTGTGCTTCAATAAAATTTATTTAGAAAAACAGACGGTGGGTGGGATTTGGCCCATGGGCTATAGTTTGCCAACCCCTGGCCCTAACCTAACTACAGTCCTTCGGAAGTAACTGACAACTGTAGTACTGTGTCTATAGTTGGGCTTCAGAGTTTTCAAATGCTAGTTTTGTGAAGGTAGATGTTCCTTTTAAAATGTGATTTTTAGATCAGTCTCAATTGATGTTTATGTGTGAAAACTATTGCAGAAACATAGCTGGTGAATTCAGTTTGCATGAAGTTATTTCTTGGTGAAGTTGCTAGCCTTGCTCCTTAAAAAGGTACGGAGAGTGGAGTGATGGAAGTAAGTCCATTTAGAGCAAGGCACGTGAGAGAAATGAGTTCTTAATAGTTCTTACCAAGTTTGTTGGGGATACTGAAAGAAAATAGTACAACTGTCTCAAATACTTGATTTCCATGTAACTTTTTAAAGCAAGTTAGACTGGTGGAGTAATAATTCTAAATGTTTCTGTATTTCAAAAGCCGTTTATTGTCACGTGAGAAATGGAAGAGATGTATAGAAGTAGTATTTTTATTAACATCATTTTTACAGAATGTTTCATTTGTCATTGCCTATTATATCACATCAGTTTCCTCCTGGGGCATGACCTAGCCCAGCATTTCACAAAGGGGCCTCTGAGGAAAGCTGTCAGAACAGTGCTCCTCTGCAGTGGCTCTGATGACTGGCAGCATCAGCATCACCCAGAAGTTTCTTAGAAACACAGATTCTGGCCCGACTCCAGACTTAGTGGATCAGAATCTCTGAGGGTGGAACCCAGCATTTTATGTTTTAACAAGCTCTCCAGAGCTTGAGGAGTCCCTGGGTGGTGCAAACGGTTAACACACTTAGCTGATAACTGAAAGGTTGGCAGTTCCAGTCCATGCAGAGACACCTCAGAAGAAAGGCCTGGCGATCTGCTTTCAAAAAGTCAGCCATTGGAAACCCTGTAGAGCACAGTTCTACTCTGACGCATGTAGGGTCACCGTGTGTCAGGGTCAACTCGACAGCAACTGGCTTCCAGAGCTCAAAGTTTGAGATGCATTGCCTAAGGTACCCCCAAGAAAAGGGAATTCATTGACCCAACTCTTTCGGCAAATGTTGCGTAAAGTAGTCCCAGTGCATGTTAGCATGATAAAATCCCGGAGAAGTCCTGCAATAACAATACGTTAACTTTCACCTAGCCTTCCCCAGACTGACTTGACCCTAAGACACCCTGTGAGAAATGATGACACAACCATAGAGAGTTTTTCTCCACTTGGAAGTCGATACATGATCCACATCTGAATTTTTAAAATACTAAAGTCGAAAATCTGTTCATTTCAGTTTGTAAGTCATCACCATTCACATTATTCATGGTTTTCCCTGCCCATTTCCTGTGTGCTTATGTTGTTTCGGAGCCCTGGTGGTGCAGTGATTAAGAGCTTGGCTGCTAACCAAAAGGTCGGTGGTTCAAATCCACCAGTCGTTCCTTGGAAACCCTATGGGACAGTTCTACTCTGATCTATAGGGTCGCTATGAGTCAGAATCTACCCAACAGCAACGGGTTTGGTTTGTTTGGGTTTATGTTGTTTCACATTTCTGGGTTTTCTTCCATTCCCCCGCTAACCATTCGCTCTGCAAACAAAACAGGCCATCTTTTCAGGATGACAGGTCGCATTGGAAAGCACCGGCCAGTGGAGATGGCAGCCATTTTGATTATGTCCACGAACAGAACCAGAAGAACTTAGGAGGGATGCAAAGTATGATGTATCGAGATAAACTCATGACTGCACTTTGAGACTCTGAAGCATCTCAATTCCATTCACCATCACAGTTTCATTACATTCCATGAAAAGTGTCTTGGTGTCACATGGATGTGTTTGTAAAAGAGTCTGAAAGTTGTTTTCGGTGTCTGTGTAAATATTTGAAAATAACTATGATAGCTAGTCCTGATTTACTGTTAGCTGCATTCTGAATACAATGAAGGTAGTTAAAGACTCAGGAATCATTGTGATGTTCTGATTTTAAAATTGGAGTAACTGTGTTTATTGTATTGCTATGTACCTGATATTTCTTTATTATTTAATTGATGGTACCAGATAAAACCAGAAAAGCTTGGGAAGATAGCTTAGCCTATAGTATATCATGGGGATCAAAATTGCTGGTGTCCAGCTTCTGCCATTATGTGACTTTGGGCAACTCACTTCCCGTTTGTTAGCCTAAACAGTTTTCCCCCATTTAAAAAGAATGGATGGACTAAATGATTTCCCAGCTCCTTTCCAACTCTAAAATTCTGTGATTTTATTAAAGTTTAATTTTTTAGGCTGAGGACATAACATTTGATCTAAATTTCTCATAAGGAAACTACATTATCCCCTTCTCTGAGAGAGGGCTGCTCTTTTTGAAAAGCTAAATAAGATATGTAACTTATTAGATTGTTGTTTAAATACAGGGAGACTTTGAATTTCATATCTTCAAGCCTTTTAGCCACTTTCAGTTTTAGTGATTGTACTAATCATAAACTGCATAGTGTTTGTTTTGATAGAATTTGCTGCTCAAGTACAAGAATAATTTTTTATGTCTCAATGATTGGTGCTGCTAACTTGCGTGATTTTAGAGGACATAATTATGAATACATGTTGTCAGAATTTGTAGAATTTGGAGGTTGGTTTTTACCCTAGATTTTTTTCTTTTAAAAAGCACATGTAATCTGAGATGCATTTATGACTCAAAGCGGATACGATTTTACTAAAGTTGTGCCAAAGCATTCTGTAGAATGGGACCGAGTAGGTGTCACCCCAGTCTTCTTTGTAGCTCTAGAAATCAATATATTGTCTTTTAGGGTAAAATTTGTACGAAAATATTTATTTCCCCGCATTTCAAGCCATGACTCAAACATTTTTTTCTTAATAAATAAGCCTAAGACATTTTTTATTAGTTTTTTATGAAAGCAATTAATTCTTGTGCCACTTCTATATATGTTGTAATTTGGCCCCATTTTAAGCCTTTTTGAAAGAATGTATTGATATTGTTTGAGGTATTTTATTGCTAAAATCTGATCCTTTTTTGGTTACCACAAAAAATCTATTCAGAAGGAGGGAATCAGATGTGTGCCTTGCACAGTGGAGTCGATCACTTACAAACTCTAAGATATTGTTTACAGGCGTGTTCCATTTTAGCAGATGTTCTGATCCTCAGTGTATGTGCTGCATACAAATAAATGTGTTCTGAAACTTCTAATCTTATTGATACATGTTTACAAATGTGTTCCCAAGGAATAAAGATTATTCTTCTTCTTCTGACTCCATCTTCATTTTGTTGATTGCTGCTGCACAGAAGTGTCATTTGTGCATGATCTAGGAAATGGAGAGTTGGCTTTTGGAAGTCTGAAGGTAAACATTCAGTTAGGTGTTGTGGAGCAAGATTATCCTAGGATGAGGCAGCCCTTAGGAAGAATGGCTCTTCTTGCAGGCACAGTGGCTGAGGTATTTTGTTCATCTGGAGCAGCTCTGGTGAAGGTTCTAGTACCTGGTCACGGGTACTGAGCAGAGTGAAGTGACCTTGGAGTTTGTCCTGGCTGCTGCTGCTGTTCCTGACTGAAAGACATCCAAAGCTGTATCTGTGGCTCTCCTGGAGGTTATGTACACTATCTATCTAATAGTCTAATAAATACCTTTCTACTTAAGGTAACTTGAGTGGATTCTTTTGTCTGCAACCAAGAAGTCTCACAAGCACTTATGACCTCCTGATTGCCACATGAAGCATATGCTTTTCATTCCTTTACTTAGTGAACCTCTCTTTATTGCTTTTGAGAGTGGTGATAACACACTCACGCCTTCTTAACTCTCTATCCTATGTGATACATCATTGTCTAACCCTCTGACTTTTTCTTCAGTCTTTGTGACAGCCTCCTCTTCTGTCTTCCTATTAAATATTGGTGTTTCCCAAGGGCCCTTCCTTTGCCCACTGTTTTTCTCACTTACTACAGTCTGCCTAGGTCTTCTCCAGTCATGATTTTATAGTGCTATTGCATTGCAAACCATTGTCTCTACCCTAGACTTCTACCATGATTTTTTAGACTGACATTTCAACTTGGATATCCTATATAAACCTCAAACTCCACATGTCAAAAGTGAAATTCATCATCTTTTACCAAAATAAACTTTTCTTCCACCTGAATTCTCTCTTTTCTACCCATGGTAAGAATTTATACATCATCCACAACTGTCCTCCCTTTTGCCACTTGTATCCAGGCAATTCCCAGGTCTTTTCAACTCTGCCCTCTGCCTCTTTAATATTTGTATTAACCCTTCCTGTCTCCTTACCAACACTGATCTTATGGGAACATCTTTTCTTTGGCGGAGAGATGTCCTGAGGCATCTGGCAGACTCTCCTGACAAGCCCATTCTTCACAGTCACTAGGGTGATCTTTCTGAAATACCACCT